AGTTCGATAATATTGGAATGCTTCGACTATAAAAGAAGTGAGATCTAAATAAGTACCAAGTTCCAGACACAGACCTCAGTTAAAAATAGTTACAGGAATGCACACTTGATTTTTCGCAGTTTGGAAATAAGAATCTACTTTAAGAATCTACTATTTTTAACTGAGGTCTGTGTCTGGAACTTGGTACTTATTTAGATCTCACTTCTTTTATAGTCGAAGCATTCCAATATTATCGAACTTGGCAGCCTTTCACATTTATGTTTTGGGTGGGATACATTATACCTGGCTATCAATTTTCAGTTTTATGTTTTTGATAGTTTCTCTATCAAAATGCGTTTTTCGTAACTGAAACCTGAAAGTGTTCGAAAATATATTTTTTACGGGTGTTTTCCGGATAAGTTGGAGGAAGTAATTTAGACAGCTGCGCGCGTTCACACGGCACAAAGCGAGTGGAAGAGCTCATAGGGCTGCGCCATAGTGGAAACGAGTTACGTCACTAGAAACATATTTCGTAAGCCTATTTCTTTCTTCAAGTGTCTGGCGGTGGGCACTTATATTTTTTAGCCGACTGCCTCAGGAGGTATGAGTATGTATGTATCCAGAAATTCGTTTTCACGGGAAACATCCCAAACGGCTGGACGGATCTTGATATGTGAGGTATCATTAGATGCGTCTCTGTAGCGCAAGTGACACTGGCTATATTAAATATACATAATTTCAAGATGGCGAACTTTTATCGCAAAATACAACTTTGAAATTACCGCAGTCGGGTTTTTGTTTTTAATACATCTTTTCGTTTACGATACAACTGTAGTAATAGCGAGGATTTTACTGCAAATTCTCAAGCAGCGCGTGAGATGAAAGTGCCGTCACGACCGCCGCCACATTATGTATTTCTAGTACTAGGGTTTTTTGATACTCTAATTAAATGGTAGGTTGGTATTTTTTCTCTTGATGTTACTTTGTGTGTATTAATATCCATACAGAACATAATTTTCGATCAACTCAGTGAGATACTATTAATAAATTATGAACTGAATGACTCTTTCACAATAACTTAGCTTCTCTACACCTCTACCCTACACATTGAGTCCATTGTTTAATGTTTTGTCCCGTGGCTTTTAAGGGATGTTAATTCGGTAAATTAAATGGAATTGGAATACATGAACTGGAGAAATTAGTTCTAACCCAATGATGAAGCTTATCTTTGTTGTATTCGTTTATCATGTACAAAAATTTGTTTCTATTGTGTTTCGAAAGGCAACAAAAAGGGTTTTATGTTTACACGTTGTATAGATAATTATCATAAAGAAATCAAACAACAAGCAGATGTATTAAGAAACAAACACCCGACTGCAGTAATTAAAGTTGTATTTTGCGATACAATTCCGCTATCTTGAATTTATGAATTTTTAATATAAGCAGTGTCACTCACTCAGCTGAGGCTGAGATGAATCTAACGACACCTCACATGTCAAGATCAGCCCAGCCATTTGGGCAGTACCCCGTGAAAACGAATTTCTAGATACATACATACGCTTGAAAAACATAACCCTCCTGAGGCAGTCGGGTAAAAATAAGCGCGATGTTCCGTTTCCGGAAACTAGGTAGGTATTATCGCTAGCACTAGGTAGGTATAATACCCGGACTGACGCTAGTGGCCGAAATACCTCACCGTAAACACGGGAGCGCTGTGTTCGTACGGCCGAATATCAAGGTGGAAAATGTTTCGATATCAGCTGAAGATTGCGTGGAACTCATCACCCTGTGCCTTGAACATTGTACCGTAACATCTGTGTATAAGCCACCTACAGCTCCATTCCATTTCCACAAACCCAGTAATTTTGACAATTGTACTACCAAAGTGGTTGTTGGTGACTTTAACAGTCACAGTCCGACCTGGGGTTACAAGGACACGGATGCTGATGGACAGGCAGTTGAAGAATGGGCGGATGCACAAGAGTTAACATTAATTCATAATGCTAAACTACCAGCTTCCTTTCACAGCGGGAGGTGGCGCAGAGGCTACAACCCCGATCTTATATTCTGTAGCTCGAATATCGCTAAACAGTGCATTAAAACCATGTGCCCGCCCATTCCAAGAACCCAGCATAGACCCATCATGTGTTCTATTCACTCTGCAGTTCGCCCCACAATCGTCCCTTTCAAGCGCCGCTTCAACTACGCGAAAGCCAATTGGGAACTCTACGCTCAGACAATCGACGACGCTCTTGCAAGCATACCACCTAACGCTAAGAATTATGATCAATTTGTTGAGGTGATAGTTTCAGCTTCGTGTAAATCTATTCCAAGAGGCTGCTACACATCATATACACCTGGCCTGTCTCGCGATTCTGCAGTCCTACTCAAAAGGTACAATGAGCTATTTCAGACTGATCCCTTCTCAGAAGAAACGGTACAGTTGGGTGAAGACCTATTGGCCCAGATCAGCGAGGCCAGGCAGAAAAGGTGGACAGATTTAGTGACCAATATTGATCTAACACACAACAGCAAAAAAGCTTGGTGGACAATTAGGAAACTCACTGGTGACCCCCCTCCAGCAAATGTCCCAGGACATGTAACGGCTAACCAAGTCGCAACTCAACTCCTGCTGAACGGGAAACCAGGCCATCGCCAATCTACTATCTCTAAAGCCAACAGCTGCCCGGATACTAGCACAGCAATAAGCAGGCCTTTTGGCTGGATTCCGACCGGGAAAATCCTGCTGCAATCAAACTCTCAACCTCACACAACACCTAGAGGACGGGTTTGAGCTGGGTCAAGTGACAGGCGTCGTATTTGTCGACTTATCAGCTGCATATGACACAGTAAACATAAAACGGTTGTTATGGAAGGTGGCTGAAATGACTGGTGACCTTACTTTCACGAAGATACTCAGCGAGCTACTTCGATGCCGCCGCTTTCAAGTTCACCTTCTTGACGACAAAAGCCGATGGCGACCTCAAAAAAACGGACTACCCCAGGGTAGCGTGCTGGCACCAATGTTATTTAACATATACACAAACGACCAGCCTAGACCACCCAATACATCAAGTTTCCTTTATGCCGACGATCTGGCACTTACGGCTCAAGCTACGTCGTTTGAACAGGTAGAAAGTAGCCTTACTTCAGCGCTTGATACGCTTGGCTGCTACTACGACCAAAACTACCTTAGACCCAACCCATCTAAAACCCAATCCTGCGTCTTTCACCTACGCAATCGCGAATCTAGGCGAACCTTGAATATTTGCTGGAAAAACGTGCCCATTACTCATTGCCCTCATCCAAAATACCTCGGTATCACACTGGATAGAGCACTCACTTACAAACAGCACTGCAGCAACACCAAGCAGAAAGTGGGCACGCGCAACAATCTTTTACGCCGCCTCATATCCACCAACTGGGGAGCATCGCCTCAAGTCCTGCGGACCACTGGAATGGCCTTATCATTTTCTGCGGGCGAATACGCTTGCCCAGTCTGGAGCCGTTCTGCACATACTCGACTGGTAGATACAGCATTAAATGACACATGCCGGATAATTACAGGCTGTCTGAAACCAACTCCTGTTGCAATGCTGTATCCTCTGGCTGGTATCGCTCCTCCAGGCGTCCGCAGAGAAGTGGCGAGTCGATGCGAAATGGCGAAAAAAGAGGCTGACCCAAAACACCCAATGCACTATTACACCCCGGTGCCTCAAAGGTTGAGAAGTCGGCACAGTTTTGTAAAAGACGTGCCCCCCCTAGACGGCGAAGTCTCTCAAAATCGCCTAAATCTTTGGCGGGAGGTATACCCTGAAGCAACAACAATGCCACTTTCTGAGCGACTGCCCCCTGGAAGCCACCTTACCTGGCCGACGTGGAAGTCTTTAAACAGACTCCGGACCCAAGTCGGCAGGAGTAAAGAAAATATGTGTAAATGGGGGTACAGTACAGAAAGTGCTTGCCAGTGCGGTATATCGCCCCAATCTATGGCACATCTACTGTCTTGCCCCGCGTGCTCAAGCACCTGTACACGCGAGGACCTTTACAAAGCAACGAACAACGCTGTACGTGTGGCTGAGTACTGGTCCAACTATATCTAAAACGCCAGAATCGATTCGCTAAGAAGAAGAAGCTAGCACATCAACCTATCTAGGGAGTCACTTGTACTGGTTTTTCTTAGTTCTTGTATGAAAAAGCTGTACTGGCGACAATACTACCTTGGAAGACGAGTGAATGAATAATTTTAAAACAGAACGATCTCTCATAATTTCTCGCTACGGCATCCTGATCCTGATTATTTCCGAGAGTAACCTTACTTTTTGATGTACCTACATACTAGGCAATTTATACTAAAACCATTTGCACGTTCACGAAAATATTAACAGAATTCCTTCTAAAGGCTTTCAAGTGCCTATGGCGTAAAGCAAAAAAGAAATCTTCAAAAAGCCGATCCCACAAAGGGTCCCGGGAAAAGGTAGAATGCCCTTCCTTCCTTTTGTTTCGCTATTGTATTTGCGGAGTATTAGCGTCTGACTGGGTTTATAAACCATATCGGTATTATTGGTTTTTCAGCAGCAAAGCTAGCTATAGCAACACTTACTACGTACTGTACTACACCACAAGAGATTTTATAAAATCTACCTTTTATCTATCTATCATTAAATCAATTAGATAGACGATTAAGTTTTAAGTAGGATCCTACTTATTTGACACTCAAATATAGGTATACAGTCAATCACCGTATCTAATACTTTGTGCTACAATGTAAAAGATTATAGGTATTATGCATATAAACTGAAATTGAAAGTTATTTTGGAACTTGTTTTACTTTGTCATAGATTTTTGACATGTCGATTACAAAATGGCGGTTTTTTCACAGCGGGTTTGCCATTGACGTAAGTTACGTGTTATCAATTGAGAAGAATAAATAGGTAGGTAGTAAAGGCTATATTATGTTTTCTGTGGTAAGGGCAGCTTTTCAATAAGCGATACCTTCAAATTTCGTGAGTGTCAGCTTGGCGCCGGTAGCTTAGACGGCAGAGCTGTGGGACGACCGTGGGGTCTCGGGTTCAAGCCCCGGCCGACGCTGGCATTTTATGTAGGTACACTACTGTTTACTTTACTTGATCAGGAGCCCGGGGTCCGTAGTTTGTTTTCCAGCGGAGTACACACAAAATTGATACGTGATCTATTATCAATATTATTCACTGAGATTATTACAAGTTTGGTTACAACCTTACAACAATGTGTAGCTATAAAAGTTAAAAGATTTTTTATTATTGTCCGTGCATCTTCTACCTAGGTAGGTATTATTGATTTTTAGGCTGTTTGAAAACCGAAACCAGATTTTACCAGGCGATTCGTGAATAAAAATTCCAACCCAATTTCACTAGCTTTGACAATCTCGTTAAAAATATCATTAGGATTTTGCTGATAAATAGTGAAATCTTACGCTCTTCTCCTCCGTAGCTTCAATTTTCATCCCGAGGGGTTCAAATCGGAACAGGGAGGGAAAGGATTACCAAGATTTAACAAACAGAAGTAAATGCTGGGCGTAATTTAAAGTCTGAAGACTTTTATGCTTATTTCTCGGAATGGGGATTCATCAAATCCATACTAATATTATAAATTCGAAAGTAACTTTGTCTGTCTGTCTGTCTGTCTGCTACGCTTTCACGCCTAAACCACTGAACAGATGTTGATGAAAATTGGCATGAGCATAGATAATAACCTGAGAAAGGACATAGGCTACTTTTTTCCGCGGAAAAATTCTGTTGGAAAATGGAAAATCCAAAAAACTATTTATTCAGACGCCCAAAACTACCTACAGAAAGAAAACACACAAGTATCCGTGGTTGATATTGCTCTGCAGGTTTTGTCAGGCACTCAAAAAAGATGTAATTTACAGTACGCGATCGAGTTCTTGACCATCGGGGAATGAGGAGGCGCGCGGGGGGCGGCGCGCCCCGCGTTTACCCACCTACCCGCATTCGCCCGCAGTCCAGTGATGGGAAAAAAGTGCGTCACAAGGTTATCGATATTTTGTCGTCGTTTGTGTTGTCAAGTGTTGTTTTGTGTAGAAAACAAACTCATTATTATTAATTACGCTTTTTCAGTTAACAACGCTTTGGATCGAGCGGTCAATTATACTGGGCTTTCTAAAAAGACATTGACTAGAATTGAAACAGAAGCGAAAATTGATAATCTTCGTTCGCCTTCTAAAATATCGGCCAAGATATTATATAATTGCCTCTGGTAGCCCAATGACCAATCATCATGATGCTTGCATTAGTGTTACAAAAACTCAAAAATAATTGAATTCACCCGGAACAACCCATTAACTAATAACTATGAGTAGTCTGAACTGAATTGTTCGGCAACAATTCTCGATATCGACATTAACATGAATTTAGTCACAGCACTACCGCATTCCTCAACATGGTCATGAACTCGTTCGCGTACTGTACTTGGGTATCATCAAGATCTTGCTACCAAAAAAAACTTTGCATGTTAATTTGTCCGAATGCATAGTTCATGAAAAATAGGAGGATGAATTCCTACGTAGGTATCAGAATGGCCATCGCGCGCCATATGAAACATACTGAACGAATCAAAACCTTCTTTTAATACAAAAAGGAGTTTAGGACGCCAAGTGTCACGCGTCAATCCATACCTATCCATACTTCCATAGTATTCCATACTATACGAGTGACGTCAATAAAAAGAAATTAGATTCCTCACATCTTGGGGTATTCGAAAATTCCCCATGTATGTTCCGTGATTATTTTTAGTTACCGAGTTATTCAACTTTTAAAGTTGTATGGGAAAAACTCGAATGGCAGATTTTTTTTCTTTTTTGTACGCAAAAAAGTATAAATCATAAAGATTATGCTATGAAATCAACAATGCTGTCCGTCTGTCTGCTACGCTTTCACGCCTTAACCACTGAACCGATTTTGATAAAATTTGGCACAGAGTTTACTCATCATACACCGAGAACGGACAAAGGCTACTTTTGCTTCCACTTGAGGGTCTGGAACACCCGATATAGACCATCAGGTGCACTATAAGGAGCCGAGATGAACTATAGGAGATACAGATATGACTCCAGAGCAAAAGTTGTTCAGCTTGATAGGACGCTTCTGCTGGTGAAAAGATATCGAAGGTTTGGAGTACCTCATGTAGACCATCAAGTGCACCAACAGGAGCCCAGCTAAACTATAAGAGATACAGATATAACTCCAAAACAAAAGTTGTTCAGGTTGATAGGACGCTTCTGCTGGCGAAAAGACAACGAAGGTTTGCAGTACCTGATGTAGACTATCAGGTGGACCAACTGGAGCCCAGCTGAAATATAGGAGATACAGATATGAGTCCAAAGCAAAAGTTGTTCAGCATGATGGAACGCTTCTGCTGGCATCTGTTGGCAATGCAACTATGGTTTGAAAAATGTATTTCCAACAATATTTGCGTGATGATTATCTAAAGCGTGACGATTTTTGGGATGCTGGTAAGGAAATCAGAATTTTGAACAGGTTTAAGGAATGAAACGATACGAAGTTCGCGGGTACCAGCTATACTTATATAAAATTCATGATTTCTTACTTTCGAATATGAAAGATTTTTACTCTCTACGTGACGGGCAAAACAAATCAACTATATCTTATTGTTTTTTAGAAAATTCATCCACCGTAGGCAGGATTTGAACATGTGACTTTCAGCATGTGTACTGCAGACGCCTCTACCAACAGGGATACCGCGGCTCAATGTCAGTCTGCGACATATTGCAAGTGTATCTTGGCCACTAACGCGTGGTAGTATCCAAGTTTTGCGACCAGCGTAACTTGGCCTCCCGCTAAGGCTGGTCATGACTCTATGATAGCGGATGTATCTCACTACTTATTTTACTTCTGCCTACTGGTTTGTTCCTTGAACCAAAGGTAGTTTTATATTAGAAGTAGATTCAATATGAAGACGAAGAAACATACTCGTATAACATTCGCCTCAAGTCCGAAGACTTAACAGCACTTAGACAAAGGCAAACGGCCATGAAAACACCCATAAGTCAGTATCAATTTATAGAATGACGGGGGCTTAAAGAAGATTGAAAGTTGACACAAGCGCCAGGCTCATCCCAGCTTAGCAGGATTAGTGTCTCAGAGAAAATACAAGCATAGAGAGAGTAAAGCCATTGGTCAAAACGAGACCCGGAAAAACAAGTCTAGAAGTACATCCAAGTTCTATCAAGAAAGCGCAAGATAAACTTTAAAAAGCTATCTTTGCATAGAGCGCGGTCTCTAGAGAAACAGAAATGAAAGTAGTTCAATAAAGGTCAACTCAAAGTAGGAAAAATTAGTTTTTTCATAGTCACGCCGCCAGTCGTATGATGAGGAGAGCTTACAAGGCACTACAGAGTGTGGAAGATTCTATTGAATTGACATTATCAACAGACTTATCTGAGTAATCAAACCATATTGATGTACAGAGCCGGATCAGCTGGTTTTTCAACTAGGCTTTCATGGATTTTGGATCAAGTTCTGACCCACAAAACCAAGCGAAAAATGTAGTTTCGTTTTACATGAGAGAGAGCATATAATTTTAAGCTCCCTCTATTTTTATTATTAGCTCAACGGGATTAGTCCGCCCCTTCTGAAACTGTGGAACTCTTGTGTAAGAAATGAATCAAACTCTACCCTATATTGAATTCTGATATTTTGTGGGAATCGGAATGTTCCGCAGTGCACTGTACCATTTAATCAGAATAAGGAAGTTCCGAGGGTGGTAATTATCAGACAAGAATGTGTATAGATGTTGTGATATAATAAGATATATCATCAGCACATTGCTTCTTATAATTAGTCGGCACGTTGGTCGGCACTTTAATACCTTAAGACCTTAATGAAGCTGTCGGGAATGGGGTAGCCGTAGCCAAATATTGGCAATACCAAATTTAATCTACCATCTTAGGACCAGTGACACGAAGAAGAAGAAGAACTTTAATAACAATCACGTACTCTTGTTGATTCAAATTCATTTTTTACAGCAATTCTGTTCGAAAAGATAACATACCATGATCGTGAAATGACACCTGGCTGCCTGTAATAGTCAAGGTCCTTAGCAAAAAAATACTGTTTTGCCGGCACAGTTGATGCCGCTTTGCTCAGTGATACTAGGGACCATTGTGAATGATTCCATCCGAGGAAATGAAAAATCCATCCACTGGATTTCAAGATGGCGGACCTTCGTTTTTTTGTATGGCACTAAAAAAATAATTCTTCTGGAGCCCATCGTGTGGGGTATCAAATGAAAGGGCTAGACGAGACAATTTCAAAAATATATCGTTTTAATACATTTCCATTGCCCTCTTAGAAAAAAAATCAACTTACATTTTTAAAAGTAGTCAAAACATGCCAAGTTTGAGGTCCAGTAGGTACCAAATGGCTGACATATAGTTTCATAAAAGTATGCCAAATGATCCACCATATCCTTAACTCTAACGTGACGAAAGGAATTTTGAAAATAATAAGATTTAATGTATATTTTGCAATGGAAAGTAGATCATTGGGAACTGCAGTAGGTTAGTAAGAACTGCTTGTGCGCCTCCATAAATGTTTAAGATGCATTTCTCATCATGATTGCTTTTACACTTAAAGCTAGATTGTGATGTGCCGGATCATTTTGAATCTTCGGGCACGGTTGTGCCCCCGCCAAGTCGAGTAAAAAGTGGATTTGCCGTACCATATTTCTCTTAGAGCAGTTTCGACCAAAGTTGAGACCCCTTTAACGATATGTTGGATAAAAATAGAAATATTTAATTTAGCAGATATAGAAGCTCTAAATGGAGTAAAATACTTAAGTTTAAGAATAAAAATAACAATTAACTATGTGATTCTATGTGAATACACAGTATTACCATTTTAAATTTACAGTGAAACAGCATTCATTGCAGTTTTAATTGTAGAATCATGTTAGTGTTTAGTGTATAAATATGAAATACAATGATTCAGATTAAGTTATTTCGTACCGACGACGTCGTGGATTGCACAACGTTTCTGGTGGAGTGGCGGACTTGGCTGTCTTTAACAAAA